CGGCCGGAATGAAATATCCATCGTCTGGCGGAGTTTTCTCCCCACAAAGGTACGCTCTCGAGAGGTCGAGGGTTATCAACACAGTTACGAACTCTAACCTTCCGACGGTCTTCCGACGCATGAGGACGCAAGTGTGAGGGAATTAACCGATGCAATTCCATGCTGGAAAAATAGTCACGCAATAACGAATTTATACTGGTATTTCATTTGCTAAACATTATAATAGCCAGTTGCAGAACATACTATAAAATGAATTTTATTCACATATTTTCCAAACTTTATATGATTAAATATAGATTTGGAAGAGTGTCTAATAATCAAAAAGGACACCTACTATTTCCTTAAATATGACTTCTTAGACTGTTTACCAGACTAGAAATTAAAAACTTTTTTTCTTTAAAAATACTCCTTTCATTGCAAGCAGAAGACCGCGTGTTCTACCAACGCCGAATCTCTTGTTTCTTCGGTTTTTCCTATGTAAATATAAATCGCTGTCTAATTTTTGAACAGCTAAGATTTCTCCAAAATGCGATGAAATTACTTCTATTCTCTAATAATAATGCTCTAATTGCATGAACGTTGTCACAGAAAACTGTTTCAAGACTCAGAGTGTGTAACCACTATGCCGCCTTGCTTTGCCTTTCAATGGGACACAACGTCCAGTAAAAATTAAGATGAGCTCACCTTTTCTTTATGATCACTGAAATGTAGAAAAGTAGAACAGTGCAGACATTTTGCTATATCAAGTTGATTGGTTGTCTGTTGAGTAATGAGTACAATAACTTAAAATGTCATAAAAATAAGCCAGAAAGATATTGAAATTAACGTTTTTACAATGTAACAGAAACAAATCTCTATTATTATTCTAAAACACATTATAACACAAGTTCTTTTCTAATTTCTAGAGAAAATGGAATGAAAAATTCAAACCTCATAAAATCATGTTATTATAGCACGATTTATATCCCATTTATGAACTTAAAACTTCGGTCGAATGTCAGAAGTGTCACGTGTTGAAATTAACAATTATTACTATGCGAGAACACACAAGAGTACAGCTCTTTTTTCCTTTTTTTCGTTTTTTCTCTTAATTTCTATGCCATCGTAAATTCTCTGAATTAAAGCTAAAGAATTTTCTGCTCGCCCGGAGTTGTTTCCTAAAATGTCATTGGTGAACTGTGTTATACTAACTCAGTCAGATAATCTGCTTAAAACGCTTTAACAAAGCAATCCCATTAAGTTTTTAATTCCTGGTCGTTTTGGGACACGTGACGAAAGAGCCGTGCACTCAAAGCTCTCCAGGTGCACAAGAGGTCCGAATGGAGAGCGCGCGGTGGCCGCGTACGAACGGAAGTAAATGTACAGGTAATGCACAGGTGACATCTTGCGAACAAAAGTAAATGTATAGGAAGTGTAAATATGATGGCCGAATGCAGACTGAAATAAATATACAGGAAATGTACACGTGGCCGCGTGCGAACGGAAGTAAATGTACAGGTAATGTACAGTCAGCCGCGTGTGAACGGAAGTAAATGATAATTAAATGTACAGGAAAATCCAACTGAACAATAGCTTTGTTTCTCCAATGTGTACAACACGGGAATATGTTATTTGTTCTACAAATAACTGCTGCACGTGGCGTCTCCTCCCTGTTGACGTCGCCGCGGCTCGTGGCGCGGAATGGACGCTTCCCCAACGTGCCCTTCCAGGACTTGCCTTCCACAACGCGAGCCATCCGCTCTGTCTCCTTGAGTCGCCTCTCAGCAGCGTTTTGCGTAGTCGAGTAGGCACGGTCAGCGGCGTCCGGTGGCTTGCGAATTAGTTCGGACGTACATGCCCCCTCCCATCACGTACATTTCACCTCTTCGAAATAGTTTTTGAATGACGAAAACTATAGCACGTGGTGCACAACCGATTTTAGTCCTTGTCTAAGACAACTGGTTAATAAGGAAATATATGATTGTGCTGTCGCGAAAATAAACGAATTTTTACAATATAGCCAACAAAATATGAATTTATGAAATCATTTGAAAGGATCGGTATTCTTAGCTTAGTTAAAGGCGCGGATTCTGCCGAACAAAACCTTAATAGCAGCAGGTTCCCCTCACCCAACACCAAGTACCCCCACTCCCCTCAAGCTTCCATTGTCTCGTATGCACCAGCTACGGACGGACTTGCGATAGTCTACGAAGCGACCCATTTCAAAAGCATCAATCTTTCGTAGTATAAGAAAGAAAAAATCGTCCACAACAATCAATGGACGATTATTTCCTTTCTAATTTAATGGATTACTACCAGATATCTGCTACCACCACGTAATGCATCAATCTTTCGCCACCCCCCTCAGCCACCCCCCTCAGCGACCCCCCGTGGCTCACCTCAGCCACGTCACAACACGCGCTGACGGCGACTACCGCGATCCGGCTCGTCCGATTCGCCGGGTCGTCCGATTGTCCGGTCCGATTGTCCGGTCCGATTGTCCAGTCCGATTGTCCGGTTCGATTGTCCGGTTCGATTGTCCGGTTCGATTGTCCGGTTCGATTGTCCGGTTCCATTGTCCGGTTCGACTCTTCTGTTCGATTCTCCTGTTCGATTCCCCTGTTCGATTCTCCGGTTCGATTTTCCGGTTCGATTCTCCGGTTCGATTTTCCGGTTCGATTCTCCGGTTCGATTTTCCGGTTCGATTTTCCGGTTCGATTTTCCGGTTCGATTTTCCGTCCGATTCTCCGGCTCGCCCGATTTTTCCGCCGCGATCCGGCTCGTCCGGCTCGCTCTCGTCCGATTCTCTCTTGGCGGCCGGGACAAACTCGATACTGACTAGTTCTCGCAGTCGGAGCTTGTCCTCCGAGTGGTTGAGTCGGAGCTCGCGATTACAGTGCTCCCCCGGTTATCTCCGATCCAACCGACGGACGGAGGCACGGAATCGGAGGTCCGGTTGCACTCGTTCACGCGACGGGACCCGTTCAGTTTACTAGGTTGGTTTGTGATTGTTCAGTTTACTAGGTTACTAGGCTGTATATTGTGTGATCTTTAGTTCTGGCTGTGGAATGTATAGACTTATTATACTTTTAAAATGTTTCATTGCAGGTAATGATATTACAAATGAAGGCTTACTTCGATATAATTAACGCAAACTTGTGTAAAATTATTTTTGCTTGTCTGTATAATATGCTTCAAATACTGCTACAGTTGATATATATTCATGTTAGTTTCTTTTCAAGAAATTAGAAGGGAATACTGTTTCTGTCTTTCGAATTAATTTCAATAAATACAATGGTGGATATGCGCCGCAGGCGCTTCTAGTAAATTGGTTTGGATTTTTCGCGATGACTGAAGCGTTAGTAAGGCAGAAATTGTAATAATACGTTCCAAATACTGCGATAAAATGTGGTGTAGCACAGAGGTGCTACAAATTAGAAGGTTTTATATGTTTAAAAAATTAAACAAATATATTGTGACATCGCTCTCGCCTTGCTCGCTTCTTACGTTGAAGACAGTGAGATGAACACAAATTTATTTCATTTCCTCTCCAGGCAAAGGATAGAACGCCGGCCTTGCTCCTACAAAAATCACCATTGAGATAGGGTTCGTAGGCTTCCGCGGCCGGAGTCAATGAATTTTTGGCTATCCGGGATGAGCCGCGTCTCGGTCAATCGTACTGACGTTTCGGCCATCTTGCTGTGGCCTTCTTCAGCTACGGAGATGGCCGAAGCGTCAGTACAATTGACCGAAACGCGGCTCACCGCGGATAGCCAAGAATACACCATTCAGATAGAATAACGTCCAGGTTGAGAGCTTTACTTTTGTGGAGAAAACAACAACAAATATTTATTCTCCTAAAACCAACTACAAACCAACAAAAAAACAACAAACAAAACAATGCATGAATGAATTGAAGTTCCTTTCATTCGGCCTCGAAGAAGGGCACTGGCCGGAGGGTGAGCACGGCCAAGGACCGCGGCGTCGTCAGCTGCGGGCAGTGTCTGCGTGAGCCCCGTCAAGGGCGTGTCTGGGCCCAGAAAGATAGGTGGGCGTGAAGTGTCCCCTCGCCACGGTGCACGGTGACTGGACAGAAGTTGCCGGCGCCTCGAAGACCATACCGAGGGCGCTTCGGGTGGCCTGACGGTACGGCAATCTGAAGGCAGGTGTGCGGCGTCTCCTTGTTACGTCGTGCAGCGACTGGTTGGGCGCGACCGGCGCCTCGAAGGCTGCCGAGGCCGCATCGGGATGATGCAGCGCCAAGACAGATAGATAGGCGGGCGCGCGCAACATCTGCTCACCACGGTGCGCGGCTGACCGGAGGGTCGCGGTCGGGGCCTCGATGCCGAGGGTGCGTCGGGATATAGCGACGGCACACCAAGCAGAACAGGTGGTCACAAGGCGTCTTCAGTCTCCGGCTCGCCTACCATTTACTTACTCCCTTGCTGAACTCCACTCGTCCACTGACTGCCTCGCGACCGACCTACCAACCACTTGCTCCCTCCACTGCCCCTACTGCCTCCCCGCCGCATTTCCCCACTGCACTTCTCCTACCTGCCTCCGTGCAGTCATTTTTGCGCACGCACATCGCGTTGACGTACGCCGTGACGTTTCATTATATTTTTGGACTTATCGGTCAGGTTGTTAATATTTACAGTAAAGGTGGTTTTACAGATCATTGCACTTTTATGTACAAATACTGCAAAAAATTTCTGAATATTTTTCTCGAAACCAGAAATCCTTTCTGTAAAAATAATTTTAGAAGTTCCCAGTTTCAGAGATACTCTTCGGAGAATTTATTAAAACAGTTTCATTTTTTTGCGATGATAATGAGGATTTTCCCATAATAATATGAAGTCATGTTTCCGCTCTTTTATTAGAGGATCAAAATATTGAGGTATTGTTAAAATATGTTTTATGTGCGAAAAGGTAACAGTTGTGGAGAGGGGGTCAAAAATTAATAGCCAGAGTAAAGAGAATAGAAAACTAACAATTACGAGAAAGTCTGTCATTCTCTAGCTCTATTAGTTTACTATTGTCACAATTTGCGCGAAATCAAATGTCTAATGCGGAACCCCTTTTTGTTTCTTTATCACTTAAACTTTTTACTGTAACATTACAAATATGTCAACACAAAGTTATATTCAAGGCTATCTATTTCACGTGCACTTGGCTGACGTTGACAACCGCTGAAAATGTGGAAAACGTGTCAATTATAGTAGCGCATATCTAATTCTTTTTTTAAAATGTGAAAGGTATTCCGTACATTTCACACGTCTCGCAGACAGGCGCATTGAAGAAAATATGTCGAAAATGGACGACTACGACCTGCGAACCGTTCCATTGCGCGTTTTGCTCACAGCTGCGTCGTGTCTGGCGCAGATGCCTTCTTTTCTGTGCAGCTGCGCTTTGCTTGCGACTCAATGAAGAAGTCGTGGGACCCTGTTCATCTCTACACCAACACTTTGCATCACCATAAATTTACCCAACGAGTTCTGCAAAACATCTTCTAACACCAGAAAAACAATCTGTCCATTATGCTTCTCCATCTTATGAAATAGTGTCAAAAATTTCGTTTATCTTTATGCGGCATTCGCTGGTGACACATTCGGAATTATGCGAGCAGCGAGCTACTACTCGCCTAATCCTGAACAGCCGATGTGTTCGGCGAATGTTTGCTCCCTTTTACGTGTCCTAAAGACCGACACGCGGTGGGTAGGCGAATACCGAATGTTCGGCCCTCGGCGTATCACAAGCAACCCGTCCACAGTACTCCGAATTCTGGGAGCGGTTGATGTGTGTTTAGCCGCCTTTATTTTATACGGTAAATGTACTCGAACCTGTATAACCTAACTTGAACCTGTGTAGCTGAATATCAATATTTTCCCTCAGGTGTGGCTCGTTATTAAAGGCTAAGTAAATAAGACAGAGCCTATCGTATGGAAATTGCCTCCAAAAAATTTAAAAATATATTTATAATTGTATTTATTTATTCATAATGAGTTTCTGGGTTATATTACGTGACAATCATATCAAAACTTGTCTCTGTTGGTTCGATAACGGCCGCCCGTAACGTACTTGAAACTGTTGACGGAGAAGAGAAAAGCGTTCGGCTCCCACTTCATTCCGCCGCAAGGCCTGTGTACAACAAGGCGTGACGTCGTACATTCACTGCTCAGGCGGAGGGAGGCTGCGACCAAGCAGCCTTCAAGGGCCTGAAGAAGGGCGTGCTCACCAGATGGCATTGCTACGCCGCTCAGCGAGTAGCATTGAGCACCAACTACTTCTCTCAATATGCGGTAGGAGCATTATTTTCTTATGCCTGTAACCTAGGAAATAATGTATAAAAATGCAATGCATGCGTTGCAATGTAATGAATTTCAATTCAATGCATTTACAGACTTTCCCATTTAAAAAACAATGAGCACCGACTACTTTTCCTCCGTGAAAAAATGTGTTACATGGAGAAACTCACATTTGAAATAAACTCTTCAATTATCACCGTTATTTGACGCCTCTACCCCATCATCACTAACACTTTTACCATCTCTATTAACTTCACCCATTGCTGCTACTACTGCACGGCGGCTACCAAAACAACCGTTCCCGCTAAAGTCGCAATCATTTATCAGGAGGAGGCCGCTGTCCCAGGCTTCAGCCGCTCGCTTGCCCCCC